TCTTGACCTAGAGACTGGCTCTTCATGTGTTCCGACTGCCAAAAGATCCTTCTTGATGAACATTGTTTGGCCCACTGGCTCACTGGGGGGATGATTTTGTAGACCTACTAGGGTCTCTCCTCTTCCTAACTCGTCGAAGAAAGGTGCTATGTTGTCAACAGCAGCATCCTTGGCAACTCAGGCATCCCCAAGGTCGTTGCAAGAGTCTTTAGTCACTCCCTGACCCTCTGTGGGGGGATGCGAGGACTGCAGCTCGTGCACTAGCCACCTGATAATGGGTGAGACTGGTACGGTGGAAGGATCCACATAGAAAATCACTTGTGATGAGATAAACCACAACCGATTAGTACAACAAGATAATCGCAATAAGGAAACCACACAAATACCCATATTATCTATACCTTCTCGCCCACAATGCCTCTAGATGGGACCTGTGGGGCCTCTACATCAGGTTGAGCATCATCATCCTCCACTCACTTCAGTACAAAAGACTATAAACAAGTTAGTAAATGCAATGCCATGCTAATTGCAGCGGTAGTAAAATAAATGCATCAAAAATATAGATTATTACCAAATCAACCTTCTCGAACTCCCCTCCTTCGCGAATGGGGAGACATTTTCTTCACACGTCCGCCTAAGACATGGATAGAAACAACCTCAGATGGGGGTACCGGCACCGTAGATTGTGTTGATTCCGTATCAGTCACGTCTCTTACTTCAGGATTCAAGGTTGGGGTCTCTTGAACAACACCCATGAATTCTCACTCCTCTAAAATCAGTGAGCTTGGTTGACGATTAACTTGTGCCTGCTCCGGGTCCACTGCATGACCCTGAGGAGGAGCCATAACATAACGCAGGTGGGGACTCGCCCACATGAACATTTGGAGGCCCCCAAACAACGAGCACATGTAGGCGAATTGGAGGGACTTATAAGCATGAACCCCTCCCATACCCTACAATAGGGAACCGTGAATTTCCTGGGAATGCCAAATCATGCCGTCAGGTCCAAAATACATCCTCCCCTACATTCTGAAGACACTGAGCGCCTATGTCATCATAACTGAGTTGGCTGAGGATCCTATCAGGACAACAGGCTACAACTTGGGCTTCGCCGGTGCAGTCCAAGTATGCGATGACACCGGGCCAAAGAATAAGACGTGCCATGCCCGCAATGGGATGTGTCACCTCCATACATTTCTAGTCATCATCCTCAGGAACAACGGTGCCAGTGCAAAACGGCATGCAATGCCAAACAACTTGGGTATAGGGCCTCCACATGAAACCTTCAATGGACGCCAGCTGGAGCTCAATCTCATTCACCCCAACTTGCTTATGCCTACTAGCACGAAGCCGACAATTCCCCCAACAGACTTCCAATCAATGATCCTCTATTTCATCCCCATCCAAGGTCGCTATGGTAACTCTCATAAGAGAAAGGCATCGGGGCGTGAAACTGGGGTCAAGACGCTCGCACATATACATGTACAAAAAGGGGGAAAAATGTAATTGATCCGTGTTTTACAACTCGGATCCATCACCTGCTGGACTGTGTCATCCATCTGTTCGTACAAATATCCCAAAAACATCGATGCCAATGGGAGTTGAAGACCGCTGGAAGCGAGCACGACAAGCAGAAACAATACCGTGCATAGACCGTAATCAAGAAACCTGGGAAGAGGAAACGGAACATGATGTACAAAATGAATGCGGAAAATGCGGAAAGATGGCACTGGTTATTTTCCTCGTACCGTCACATCCCCTACCTTTAGTTTTGAACCAACAAACAATCCATGCCTCAAGCGGCATTTTACCCCGGGCGGTTGACTGATCCACCTGGGCCTTGAACGCAACAATCTCGCCCAAAAGCTCCTCACAAAGCCCTGACAGATTGGTAGGGAGAGACTCAATGAATTGCAAATGATGGGCAGACACTGACCCACCGATGGATAATGTCAATAAGGCAACCACATCTTCTACAGTTATGCCAAACTCACTGAATGCCCCCACGAATGTGTGAGTGCGGCAACACCAATGCTCCAAAAGGGGGGGTTTCACATGACTTACCCCCTCCTTCCCGGGAAGATCCAGGAAACAATCTACAAAGCACAAGAGGCCGGCGTCCCGTAGTAGACGACAATACATCGAATTTTCTAGGATGTAGCGAGCCCAGCCCGAATAACTAACCAAGGACTTTGAATTATCGGTCCTTGGTTCCTAACACTTATACGACACAGAGTGGCCTACGCGCCCATACAAACAGACCAACTCACTTCATCAATGGCATCAAAAGCCCCTTCCTCCCCCCTAACACTAGCATAGGAGGTCAGAAGCCCTAACCGCCATCGGCCACCCTAGCCGCTTCACGTTTGGACAGCATTTATGTTGAATCCATGACTCTGACAAACTCAAGAAATAGGCATTCGGTCTTCATTTTGCGAGGGGCCATGGTAAATTGATAGGGAGAAATGAAGAAAGAGATTGAGAATAGTTGCTAGAATGGCAAGGATGGAAACAGAGAGAGCAAATGGTCGAGATTAACAAAACACAAAAATGAAAAGATGTAAGCGTACCACCCTCTTATAGAACTGTCGCCTGTGTCCAGAATGCTAAACACCGTCGAGGAAGATGAATCGATATGATTACAATTGCTCATCCGACGCTTAATGGAAAAGTAAAGTATATAAAATTACGATCATACCCTTAGTAGGGGGGACAAACCGGCGTATTAATTTAATAGTGGCGCCATGTTGGCAACCGCCACTTTAAATTCTACATCCCCTCTTTGAGCCACACGCACGAACGCATCGCATTTATGACAGTTACAAAAAGTCCTAATGATGACCACCACGTCATCAACTCATAACAGCTTTCCCACCCCTCTAACAGTAGCCAAATGCAAAAAGCCACCAAGCGAAACACTCCCAACTCACACCGTGTATTCGTGAATGGCATCATCCCGGCAAACACAGGGGGGATGGACACCTGTACTTTAATGTTTATCACTTGTCTTTCGACAATTTACTTCCTCCATTAGACAAGGGGGTTGAGAACTTTGCTAACAAACCGAGCATAAAACTACCTACTGATAGAAAGCAAATTGTCAAAAAATAAGGGGGCTGAATTACAAAATGAACGAAAAACTAACCCAAAACGAACACTCCAATTTCCATCCGAAGATACCACATAGATACTTGCAATGATTCCATAACTCATTGAACGCTTGCGATGAGTTCATAACTCATTGGACGTCTGCAATGAGTATATAACTCATCGCATGACTGCAACAAACTCGTACTCGAAACAAATCTGCGATGAACTTTAGACATGACAAATCTGTGATGAACCTTAAACACGCACAGATTTGCGATGAGCTTTAGACACACGTGGAGTTGCGATAAGTTCAAAATCATTATAGAACCACAAAATCACTATAGACTAGGAATAAATATCAATTACATGTGCATCTTTAAATTACGCATGTGAGAAGATGCCCCATGGACCTACTAAAGGTGCGCCTACTAAACAATGACGTCACTTGTGTCACGTTGATAAAATGGGTCACGAAAGAAAGTAGCACATGTGGATTATGGGAATTCATGCGTGCATTAATTCTTCGTCTGTATCTTTGTGTTTCCAAAGCGCATCCCATTACGTCTCTTAAAATTCCCTTTCCTATACACCTTGCATTTCTGATACTTTGAACATTGGTTTAAGGTTCAAAATATCCACATGATACACAATACATGTCATATCATATTCATGCCCAAAGACATGGACAAATAGATTAAACTTACCTATATATTTATGGTAGCATTTGTTATTTTTATTAGATTTGTGCATTTTCCCCACAAATATAAAGAAAATTTCAACAGTACAGAAAACATATTGATTATTTGAAGAAATAAAATTATTTATATAAATTAAATATACTAAATAAATAACAATTTCTGTTGAAACTTTGGTTAGATCTATGATGCTTTAAGTAACATTTTACCGTTTAGTGTTGATAAACGGTACAGTACAGAAAACATCAGAATTTGGTGCTTCAATTTATTTATATAAATTGAATGCTTAATCAGTGTTGATACATTTTCAGTAAGGTTATTTTCTGGGAAACATCTATGCCACCAAAAGGACAGGATCATAAAGGGCTTTGATCAATAAAAACCCGCACATGAATTTGTTAAATAACCACCTAATTGGTTACCACGTCTGACATAAATTCATTGGTTATAAGATTTTCCGATATCATAAATCAACCTATATTTTATGATATCTAAATGTTCGACTCATGGTATTGTTGATTATAATGCATCTCTTCACGTAAACCATTAAAATTGGCATTTCCGATACCTTCTTCATAGTTATTCAACCTTTAAACCCACTGTAATTGCTTACCACATCTATGATACAGGTTGATTGGTTAAAGTTTTTCCAGTATCATAGTCGAACAATATTTTATGATGCCAAAATGTTCTCGGCTGATTGTAATGCATCCCATACAATCCATTAGGCTGAGTTTGGAAGGAGTACAAATAAGAATAGTGTAAAACCTTATATTTTGTATGTATTTACGCTGTACATATTTGCATTTGTACTCTTCCAAAACTGCAGTCCACAGTCATGGTGTATCCTACCTTCTCCATACTCATCTCAACCTTATCTCAAATTCCCAATATGACCCATATCCAAACTTCCCATACAATACATTATACCAGAACTTTGAATCTAGTGTGTCAGACATAGCGAGTTTATAGGATACCAGACGCCACTTTACTAGATGCCCGTACAACAATGTCACTGCTCAGAACCAGACTAGACATTTGGCGTGTATGGACAACCAAAGTGCTAAGGTGGACTAGTATTATGTCCCTGCTCTTAGACGGATAGATGCCTAGGCTATATTTTGGGATTAAACTTTGCCAACAGAAACCTTTTTTCTCACGGATGTTCTTGAATCAAGAAACAAAATAAAAATACTTACAAAAGGCGCAAACAAATAAGCCTATTTATCATCGGCAGTTTATTTTTCTTCTTTTATGGGGGGGAGACGTGAGTCAGAGAAAAGATGAAGCAAAACGATATCAAGCCACATATTCAGGTCCTGCTGAGCAAAATATACAGCAGCAATACCTGAGAACAGGTTACATAACACAACCAACATATCAGCCATCACGTGCCATAAAACATCCCAACCCAACAAAACAACCCCAAGCCAAAATAAATTGATGTGATTCTCTCCAACCCAAACTTCCGAGTCAGTTGGGCGACCCCAGCTCCAACTCAACACACAACTGGTGCGAGTCCCCCAAGTTACCCAGGTACAAAACATATCTTATTTACCTTGACAACTAACATGTTCCAACTTACCACATACCATGGCCTCACACATCATGAAATTTCTATATAGACAGCAGTGAAAGCAAGCAGCACTCACTGATCTAAGGTTATATTTACAGTTTGACCAAAAGAACAAATCCACCTATAAAACCAGAATACCTTGAGAACCAGTTGAGTCAATGGAAGACATGAGTTCAGCTGGGCTTTCATCTTACATCACCCAACAAGAAAACCAGAGTTCCTTCATCGAGTGGTTTCCATCAGAGGCACCGTGATAAAAAATGGCAATATTAGGATGATGATGATGGTATTTGTTATCTCTGTCGTCATCTTTGGCCAAGAGAAGGATTGGAACTTCTTCAAGCCACCAAACAGGCATAAAACCTCACTATCTGCATCATTCAGATCAACTTCCTCTATGATTTCTCAAAAAGAAAGATTTTCTCCTGCTATTACTTTCTTACATTGATCATCTGTCTAGAAACAAGAGATTTTGTCCAGTCCCTGGACTCAAACAACCTGGACCTTGAAGCTTGGAAAATACGACAACAGCGTACCCCAACAAGGAAAAGACCCAGCAGTTACACTGCAAAATGGTAAAAGAGGCAACCCCAACACCAAATCAGGTTGGCATGCTTGTCCAAAGCTGCAAGGGAGGTAAATCACGCTGGTGAGAGTTTGTAAGGTTTTGACAGCACCTTGTTTTACAACATTAAGTTGATAATGTATACAATACAAAGCCTAGATAACCAAAATATTACCAACTTAAAATTGAAATAAGAAAAACAAACCATAACTTGCAGATTACAGTATAAGATGGTCCCACAACAACCAAGGCAATCACACAGATAAAAGATCTCGAGTAGCAATACTCTCAACATAAGAAAATAATTACCAAATAACTTGTATATGTGATTTTCTATGCCATAAAACATCCAGCAAGCACAACTGACACAATTTGTAGTACAGGAAAAACACAAAATGTAGTCGAGGGTTCTAATATACATAGAAACAAAGTGAACAAAGCACCCCCCCCCCCCCSCCAAATACACAACACATACAGAAAAGACAAAATTAGACCATTTGATACAGGTGAAATAAAGAATTTTCTCCACTAATCAACAACACTGATAAGTAGTACCACTTGATAGAGTGCATGAATTAGGTAGGGCTTTTGGAAAACGAAAAAAGGTCTCCACTAATCAAATAGGTGCATATTAATAAATGGTTAGCTTGACCCACACCATATTTTACACCAACATGCAACATTCAAGTCCTTGATCTTGCCTATCATAAACATATAGGTCAGTAGCTATTATTCACGTTAACGTATAGTAATCAAAAAACTTGTTTCATTTGATGAATTGGTTAGCCATACAAACTATAAGTGCAAGGTAAGATAATGTGCCTGAGTGAAGTGAGGTACAACCTTCGAATAAATTAAAATGTATAATAAAACACAAATGTAAATTCATAAAAGTAAAATACTAAAAAGCGTATAAGTTCGATTGTTAGGGCATCAAGTTATTAATACAAGGTCGTATGTAGTCTTGAAGGTTCAAGTCCCACATAGGTTTAAAACTGTTTCTAAACACCACAAGCACAACATACAAGATAAATTACCACATCATCTAAAAGCCTTGTCCCAATTATATAGGATCAACTTCAAAAATCCTGTTTCACCATTCCATTCTGTCCAATGCCATATACCTCAACAAATTATGGGCATTTAAATCATTTCTTAGTATCAACCAAAATCATTTTTTGTTCTAACCCTAGCACTTCTTAAAGGTGTTGTAGATGGTCTTCTATGAACATGACCAAACCACCTCAATCTACTTTCTCTCACTTTATCACCTTTCGGAGCTATTCCTAGGTTCCTTCATATCACTTCATTTCTGACTCTATTCTTTCTAGCTGTACCAGTAATTCATCTAAGCATACAAATTTCGGCCACACTCATTTTTGGACATACTATTTCGTAACTCCAAACTAAATAGTTTGTCTTAGGACTTATAGAATTTTTCTTTTAGCCGAAGTTGTATTTTTTGTTTTTGATGAATTTAGCCAAAGTTGTATTTTCCTATCACATAGGACTACTCCAGATGCACCACTCCATTTTGCCTATCCTGCTCCAATTCTAGTGAGTGGCATCCTCCTCAATCTCCCCTTTGTATCCTGGTTTACACTCCTATTATTATTAAATTTACATTGCATATATTCTGTTTTAGTCCTACCGAGTTTAACCTCTTGTTTCTATTGTACTTATCCATAAACCTAATTTTACATGTAATCTTCCATTAATTTCACCATTTAATACTATAAATAGAGACCAAGAGCTGGCCCTTGATGAAGACCCAATTGTAACTGCAAAATCCTATGTCTGTCCAACAAGTGCTCTAACATTGGATTTTGCAACCCATAAATTAGCTTAATTAGCTCCACATAGCTATTTGGTACTCCTTTCTTTACCAAAACCCACCATATTACCTCTCTAGGAACTCTATTAATTTTTTAGCTTGTGTCCATGATTGATCCTCCTGGCATAAATTTCCTATTGATCAAAAATAGAATACGCTACATATTCAAACATCTAGTTCAAGGTGAAATGCCTGGGTTCAGGTGAAACGCACACAACAAATGAGCCTCACCTGTGAACCTGAGCATCCCCCTAAAATAGTGATTTAAACAGCCAAAGAATCTTCCGCATGGCAATGGGGTTGTTCTTGACCCCCACATGCTCCTACTTTATCCACCATTCATGGAACAAATTGCAGCTTAGAAGTTAGAACCTTGCCAAAAAGACAAATTAAGCCCCCTGCTTAACTATAAATTATTCAGTCAACATATTTTAAGAAGATTGGATTTGGATGTAAGTGAAGAAATTATTCAATTGTCCCAATATAGTAGGGACAAGGCTTAGATGATGATTATGATATTTTAAGATCGTATTATTTGGGAAAGCTCTACTATAAAGTGGGTTTTAGGGTGATGTAGACTGGGAAAGTTAACTGTGAACACAGTAATCCAAAAGATTACTCACTCAATAAATGGTTTCAAGTAGCCATAAGATTCCACCATGTAGTGGATATTAGTTAGGTTGTCAGTTGTCTAAAGAGCTTCTCTACCAGATCCAACTCAGAAACCCTTTCCAATATACGCATGGGATCAAATCATCAAATTCTGATGTCACCTTCACCAACCACAAACAAGTAAGCATTCTTATGAAAGGAAAGAGAAAAAAGAAAATATATACACAAAGGCTGTGTTTCGTTGAAGGAAAAAGTAGGGAAACGAAGGGACCTTGTATAGATTTCCCTACCACAGTGTTTTAAAGGCACAAGGTGCAAAAAAAGCGCAAGGCAAGGCGCGTGCCTTTTTGAAGCAAGCCGCAAAAATACAAAATATTGCTAAAAAATCAAAAAAAAAAGTCAGAAAATTCAAAAAATGCAAAAAAATGCAATATATATATATATATATTAAACATAATATTAATAAGAAAATATAAACTTAAATTTTAAAATTATTTGTTTAAAAAACCTATTATCTAAAATTAAAATACATAAACATTGCATGTAAAGCATATTCAAATGAAAATTTAAAAATAAAATCAAGCATATAAAACATTTTCAAACATGTAAAGCCCACAGTCTCTTTTTTTCCTCAATTGCATTACTTCAAGTAGCTAATGTGATGTAAAACATATTACATTCTTGATTCTATGTACGCCATTGTGCCACACCCCTCGAGGCAAGTCCAAACAAGTCCATGTTTGGGTCTTAAATTCTTAATTCTAACACAAAAAATAATGATTTTATAATTTTAATTGCCTTTTAAGAAGATATTTTGTTAAGATGAATGAATGAACAACATTAGCAAATAGGGAGTTCTTTGATGATGATGATAATTTGGATGAAGAAAGCAACTATGTTGGTGTAGTTCGGTGTATTCTTGCATCCCCAAAGAAAGAAATCAAGGAAGATTGGCTTCATACAACAATATTTCAAACTATAGTAAAGAGTGGAGACAAGTATTGTAAGCTTATCATAGATTGTAGCAGTAGTATAAATGTGATTTCTGAAGACATTGTGGATCGGCTAAAGTTGGCACCACAACCACATCGACAACCATACAAGATTGCTTAGGTTAAGACAACAATCCCGGTAACTAAACAAGCCCTTGTTACTATTTCTTATGGTAGTTATCCTAATTCTAATTGGTGTGACATTGTTCCCATGAATGTTACATACATTGCATGGAAGGCCTTCGTTGTATGATAGGGATATCTACCATTGTGGAAGGGAGAACACCTATCACCTTAAAAGGCATGTATGTAAGGCCACCTCAAAAGGAGACTACAGCCCAAGGGCCCGTTGCTGAATCTAAGAAAAATCCTTTTAAGGTCTTAATCCAATGCACTACCCATAGTTTTCAAGGCGCCAAGGCAAGGCCATGCGACAGGGGGGCGCCTTGTTGCCTAGTCACCTAGGCGATGGATTTTGTAAGTAAAAATCACATATCCTAGGGTAGTTCCATAGGTTCCATAACCAACTTTCTTTAATAACTATCCACAATTTTCATAAGAAAATTATAAACTTCATGTTTAAGTCAAGAAAATCAACATATTTATGAGAAGAAAAAGAAGAAAGGAAAGAAAATTCAAAAAATAAAGGGGCTGAACCCCTATTTTTGTTATAAGAAAAGAAAAAAAAAAGAAAAGGTGGAAGAAGGAGAAGAAGTAGAAGAAGAAGAAATGTGTTGATTAAACAAAATTTTAAGTTTTTCCCTTACTTATTGGTTCAGATTTTGAAGTCATTGAGGGTTCAATACAGCAGTTAGCAATGTTTGTGTTGATTAAACCCTAACAAATAAGAAAATAATAAAAAGAAATAAGCTTATAAACACAAAAAAAATGAATATTTTTCTTTAATAATGTCTATTTTATAATTATAACTCAGAAAAATAACAATATAACAGTATTTTATTACACAGTATGCAAAACTGCTTTTCAACCAGGCGAGGCGAGCCTCCAAGGGCACCTTGTCGCCTAGGCGCCCGCCTAGGTGTCACCTTGACAACAATGGCACTACTTTATTGACATAACTTCCAAAACTGCTTATCTGATCCATTCCATAAAGTGTTGTTCATCTCATGCACCGCCACATAATGTTCCCTCTCTTTCTTGTTATCAAGAGAGAGGCTTTGAAGAGAACTGAGTTAGAGTGTGAGAATCATGCTTTAATAAAATGTTAGGTGCCAACTCAGTTGGTAAGGTCTCAGGTTAGTTGTAGCAGAGACTCGGGATCAAATCCTGCCTTCACCAGGGTTCAGAAAATAAACAAGGAGAAAGAGGCTAAGCTTAAATCCAACAATTAACCATCTCCAGAATTATCCTGCCCAGACCATTAAAAAATCTATAATACTAATTTGATTGGAAGTGAGACAATCATGGAAAAACTTACTGATTATATTCACATATAGAAAAATAGACATACTCTTGGAATGAATAATCAAATAACATGACTACTTCAATGCATTTAAATGACTGTTTTAAAGACAAACTTTAGAATTCTCGTTCATGAAAAGATGAAATTTTCTGTTATTAATAAAAAAGATAAAAAGATGAAATTCATAAAGAAAAATACACTTACAAGCTTAACAGTACTATGAACCAGAACCCAACTTCTGAACCCATACTTGTTTCTGCAAGAAAATTTGGTGCAAGTTAAAGCCAATTAACCAAATAAAATAAAACCTAGAAACAAAAATAACATGTTTTGCCCAATCAAAGTGGGGGTAATATATATGTACAATAGGTGACAAGATAAAGAGAGATTTCCCACTTAAAAGGAAGTAAAAGAATAAATACTAAGTAATAAAAAAGAAAAATTATTGGTGCATGTTATACAGAAATTATATGTTGTAAGGACACCTCATGGGAACCATAGCCAGTAGCATTTCCCCTTTTGGAAGGCTTTCCATCACTCGTACTAAGGGAATTTCCATCAATATCCTTCCCTCCATGCACTGATCCACGGCGACTAAATTGCCTATGTGAACCTGAATAATAAAGCAGATGTCACTTGCAACCAAGAACATAAAAACCAACTGTCTTAAAAGAATTATACTCAAAAATTGTATTCAGCTTATGGTTTTGACAACATAGCTAACCGTTCTCTGCAGAAGAAAAATTGCTCCGACCACTTCCAATGGTTTTCACTTCACCTTTGCTTGCATGGTGAATTTCAGATTTTACTTCATGACTACAAGAATCATATGCAGAAGAAACATTGCCACCACGTCCTACTCGAGAATTGTGAACAGATGCTTCCTGGCTTCGTGCTTTCCCACTGGGAAAAAATGATTTATTACCAGATTCTGGCTCATCCAACACATCATCCCCAAGTTTACCAGCTCCAGGAGCCACAAGCTGATTTATGGTCATGCCTTCTAAAGAATCTGACAGCACTTGTGTGGGTCCAGAAAAGGAGGATGATGATGAATCATCACTGGCATGTGATATATCTGAACGACGAAGAGGTGTCCAGACTCCTCGGTCAGGTCTATCCTTGTTTCTAGCACGTTTTTCTTGCTTCTCGTTCACTGACGAAACTCCATGCACATCATTCACAGCAACCTTATCGTCTTGTATCCTTTTCATCTCAGTATCACAACTACTTGCAGCCTGTGAAATGCTAGAAAGGTGATCTTTCAAAACAGAACGCATTGTGGTGGGCCGAGGTGGGCGCTTTTCCTTCTCTAAATTCATGGTCTGGGACTGTTGATCAGATTGGATTGCTGTAGTTGATTGACCCTGGCGTGCTTCCTTTGATAGTATACTTCTGATCATCCTTCCACTAACATCACGCCGTTGGCTCTGTTTGAAAGCAGTTGAATTTGGTGAGTTTCTTATTGGAGATATTACACTCTGTTGTTGTGATACACCCACCTCAGGCGCCTATACAAGGCATTAAGACATTTGCAAGTATTAAAAGATTTTCATCAAAAAATATGGAAAAAACAAGGTACTGCCAATAACTGAATCACACAATGGACGAGTAAGCAACCTTTAACCATAAAAGTTGTAAGAAATGGAGAGAGAAACAGAGACGGAGAGATTACATTAGGAATTTCTCGCTCTTTCCCTTTCAGAAGCAGGACCTTCTTCTTTCCAGTATCAGCAGAACCAGTAGCTGTTGAAATAGCTCCATCAGTTTTAGGGACTGAAAATATAGAAGGAAAAGATATACAGAACACCCAAAAAGGGTAAATTACAAATACACCTAGGATTTCCAGTAATAACAAATAGCCACCCCAGGTTTTTCAAATTGCTATGGACTTGCTTCAAATTATTTGGTAACTACAGAAACTCTCAATTTGCCAAAAAGCATGTGCCCCATGATATATTTAAACTTTCTCCACAACAATTTTAACCTTGTCAATTATATGGTACCTTAAAATATTCTCAAGTACCAAACTACCCTCTGGCACATTGGTTGAATACATTAGATTAATAATTAAATCTCTAGTTTATTAGTGCGTATTAAATTGAACTCAATTAAAATGGCACTGAAATCAATTAGATTGGAGATTACAGTTACCTTGGTTACGAATCCAAAGTTTCCACAATTGGCTAGGGGGCGACATGGAATTTTCCAAGAATCTTTTTTTCTTAATGTTTCTGATATTTTGCTGATACATTTGCAGTATTTAAAATTTGATTGATAGAATATAAATTTAAGGTGTAAAAATTTTAGAATATCATCAGAAACATTATGATATTTCATTAAAATCACCATATTTTTTATAAACCTTTTCCTGAAAAAAAAAAACAAATGAGGATTCAGCGATTGGATGATTAGTTTACTATTTTAACATGATTCACTCACTAAGTCATTATAATTAAAAAAAAAGAAATAAGAAAAAGAAAACTGCATACGACTACAAAACTGAATTCTCAATCTAATCAAAATGTTTAGTAGCAGAAAGGACACAAGTCAAAATGGAAAGTGACACAAATAAAGAAGAGAAGATGGAAAAATAAAGAATAAAAGCGAGACAGAGAGTTTTTTTTTTTTTTTGGGAAAAGGTAAGGTAAATTTTATTGAGACAGAAATAATAGTACAAAGGGACCCCCCAAGGAGAACAACTTGGCAGGGGAGCAGCCAAATCAATGCAAGATTACAGAAGATAAGTTCCTAAAATTCATCCTAGCCCCCAACTGGGAGGGCCTGAATCCCCTCAGATGCCGATATACAAGAAATCAGCTTTCCAAAAGAAATAGATATAAGATCCTCCAGGTCCTTGCAGATATAAGTAGCCCCCAACTGGGAGGTACTGATTACTGCAGCCGGAATAACACCCACACAGCAGAAGCAATCTTTGACAGCCCCTGTAACACCCACCTCCACAACATCTCCTTCACTGGGGCTGGCATAACTCAAGAAAGGCCCAGCACAGAGAGAGAATGATTGCAAATTCTATCAGAAATAGGGCAGTGAAGAAACATATGGCTGTTATCATCCACATCATGACCACAGATCACACAACTCTGATCCTGGAGTTGAATCCCTCTCTAAGATAGATGGGCTTTAGTTAAATACCTGTCTAAAGCTGCAACCCACACCAGGGCATTGATTTTTGAGGGAGAGGGTCGGGTTCCAAATTCTGGAAGCAGGCATGACTTCCAAGTTACTTTCCGACAGGTGAATGGAAAAAGATTTGACTGAGAAAAGGCCATCTGTACTATTAGTCCAGATCCAACTATCTTCCTTGAGCAGATCCAGGGGCTGGAGGGAGATCAATTCAAGTAGCTCGGCTAGGTTTGCAATTTCCCAATCCTGAAATTCCTTCTAAATGGACACCATACCACAGAATTACCAAATGCCTCATAACAGTCCGCAACCACTGCATCTTGGAGGTCAGCTAACTGAAATAACTGTGGGAATAAATCTGATAGAGGGCCAGAGGGGTATTTCCGAACACCACGGATCTCTCCAAAAAGCCATCATCACCCTTCCCTAGTTTAGAACATAAACCTCTGCTGGAACTAGGAAGAATGTCCATTATTTTCCTCCATAGGGTGCAACCTAAGGAGGGGAGAGAGGACATGGTAATCCAGTCTCCTCTGTCTGTGTTGTATTTAGCTCCAACTGTATCCTCCAATTGTTTCTCTCCACTCCAAATATCCAGATCCTCGGAAATTCTTTTAAAGTTGACTCCCAATGTTTGCATGGCAAAATGTCAATCAATATCAAAATTTTTTTTTTGATGAATAATAATAAGTTTATTGATTCAGAAGCAAATTAGAGTGAGTTCATACATCATCCCA